AGCAAAATATCAATTATAAATGAAATACAGAACATAGACTTAAAATATATCAAAATAAATGAAAACGATGGCACAGGTTTATCATCTTAAGAGCTTTGGAGTTCTTTGGGGATGAAATATCTTGGATGTATTGCTGGATTTCTGTTTCAACAGCAATGAATAATAGAGGTTGACTGATTGATCAGTTTTGATGATTAATCAGCACCGATAGTCGATTGCTGGAATTATCGGCTAAAATCCATGCTGATGATCAAAGGGTGTAGGTTTGATTTTGGCGTTGATGGAGACATAACAGCAGACAAAAGACATTTCATTGTTTGATCAAAATTATTGCTAGGGACAATTTAGTAGTGTCTGGATATTGGTAGGATCATGTCATAGCGTCTCTACTAAATTCTACACCCTTGAAAATCATAACAAGCGATGTCTGACTTTGGAAACTATATTCTCTCCTTAAATATGAAGAGGTCAAAAACAGATTAATTTAAAATAAAAACAGTTTGGAGTTACTCCAAATTTCACAAAAAGCTTATGGATGTAATTATAATAATAGACAACTTATCACTTGTACATTTCCTTGTACTTAATCTAGTCTAACATTTGAGTGTGTAACCTTTATATGTATGTATTTATTTTTATTAAAATATGTGCCATCTCAAGAAGAGGGGCTTCCACTTGATATCGTCTAGAAATGTGTGCCCTGCCATATCTTGATTTAAATACACTTCAAAATATATTTTGAAATGAGCCTCAGCGATATTGAGGGTCACCCCAAATGTTTTTTTTTTTCTTGTTTTTTTAATTGCCAAGGTATAAAAACATATAAATACATGGATAGTGTAAAAGTAACTATTTAAATAAGATGATAATGAAAGCAAAATATCAATTATAAATGAAATACAGAACATAGACTTAAAATATATCAAAATAAATGAAAACGATGGCACAGGTTTATCATCTTAAGAGCTTTGGAGTTCTTTGGGGATGAAATATCTTGGATGTATTGCTGGATTTCTGTTTCAACAGCAATGAATAATAGAGGTTGACTGATTGATCAGTTTTGATGATTAATCAGCACCGATAGTCGATTGCTGGAATTATCGGCTAAAATCCATGCTGATGATCAAAGGGTGTAGGTTTGATTTTGGCGTTGATGGAGACATAACAGCAGACAAAAGACATTTCATTGTTTGATCAAAATTATTGCTAGGGACAATTTAGTAGTGTCTGGATATTGGTAGGATCATGTCATAGCGTCTCTACTAAATTCTACACCCTTGAAAATCATAACAAGCGATGTCTGACTTTGGAAACTATATTCTCTCCTTAAATATGAAGAGGTCAAAAACAGATTAATTTAAAATAAAAACAGTTTGGAGTTACTCCAAATTTCACAAAAAGCTTATGGATGTAATTATAATACAAGTCAGACATTGAAGTGAGTTGCTGTTTTTGTCTCTTCTGAGGAAGATTCATTCACTTGTTTTTTACCCACACAGAGACATTTATTGATGTTCATCTAATCTCATTTTGTGACTTTTTTTCATGTTTTAAAGAAGTTTTCTTTGGCTGCTCAAAAGAGAATATAGAAAAATATAACTCAAGTTTTCTGCTAGCTAAATTTCACATAAACAAAAATCCAGCTCTATATTCACGTGTCGTCTTAAGGTGAACCCCCCCCCCAGCACTATTACCCAGCTGAAAAAAGTGCACTTCCATAATATACCTAAAGTGCTCAATTTTCTCACACTAATTTTGTATTTAATATACTAAAAATGATAATTTAGTACTTATTAAGATAAACTTGATCATCTTGTACTCAACTGTGCTATTTTGGGACAACATGAATATGAACCTAAATGAACCCATCTTTCATACACTAGTACACTCAAGTGCACTACAAGTGGTGACTAAATAATTTTTTTTAATACAGAGATAGTATGATAAAAGCGCATTTTAGTTTATATTCATGGTGTTCCAAAATAGCACAGTTGAGTAGCCTACACTTATATGATCTTAAGTTTATCTTAAGTACTAAATAATAATTTTCAGTAGGTATATTAAGTACAAAATTAGTGCGCAAAAATAAAGCACTTTAATAGCCTACATTATGAAAGTGTAGCCTACTTTTTTCACCTGGGATAACTTATGATGTTTGGATAATGAACGTTTAACCTGCTTAGATATAAACAGAACACAAAGTAAATATGCTCACATAAAAATCTTCTTAATATCTCAACTGTCTCTCATAAATGGAGATTAAACTTCAGCTGAAATCTCTTGTTTCTCAAATATTTCACTTGAAAGACATATTAAAAGACATATAATCTCACGTTTCTCTTCTTGAGTTTTCAGAAGTAATCTCAACAATATCTGTGCTCATTTTTGCCAAAACGCAAACATCTGTAATCAAAATTCTCATTATATCAATATTGACACCAATGTTTCTAAATGTTTCTAGTAAATGAAAATGTGTTTCTTTACAGCAAATGAACTTGCTCTCAGTCTGAATCACTGGTGTTCATGTTTTAGTAGCTGTAGTGTATTACACATGATCTCCAGTGATCAAGAGGAGTTAGTGCCTACGTCCCAATGTGCATACTATCTATACTAGTTATTTGAGGATGAAATAGCTTGATTTAATGTATTGCTGGATTTCTGTTTCAAAAGCAATGAATAATAAAGGTCGACTGATTGATCAGTTTTGATGATTAAACAGCACCAATAGTCGATTGCTGGAAATATCATCTATCATCCAAAATCCATTGGTGGGAACATAACAGCAGACAACAGACATTTAATTGGTATTTCAAAATTATTGCTAGGGACAATTTAGTAGTCTCTGGATATTGGTAGGGACATGTCATAGCATCTCTACTAAATTCTACACCCTTGAACCTGATGAAAATAAAGCACTAAAAAGTCACAGATGTGGCAAGTATGAGGTGTGGTCACATTAGTGAAATTTCACAAAAAGGTCAGTTTTTATCAAACAGCGATGCACAAGACAACTCAGTGTTTTGGTCACATTGTTTTAACCACTTGGGGTGCTGCTATCTGAATCAAATGAATCGCAAACCATAATTTCAGATCAGAACTTTGGAGCAGGTTCGCAAATCATTTCGTAAATGATTTCATGTCTAACCACAGAACACGGCGGCTTCTCGGCTACCGACAACCTTTCTGACATTCTTTCTGGCTATTGTCTGCTTGCTAAACAACAAAATGGACTTACTGTGACTTCTAATGAACAGGTACAAGGTAATGAGGAATTGCTGTGCACTTTTGCTGACAGAGAAATGGCTAAACCATGATATGCCCAACACAGCGTTCCAGATCGAGGAGCTGCTCTTCTTCTGAGCTGACCGTGATAAACGGGAGAAATTGAAGAGGGGGACACACTGTCTACATTAACAAACACTGGTGCACAAACTGTTCTCTGGTAAGCAGCCATTGTTCTGAAGTGGTGGAATATTTGACGCTGAAGTGCCGGCCATATTATTAGCCAAGGGAATTTACAGTTGTGTACATTGTGTCTGTGTAAGTTCCCCCGAGTGCTAACGCTAGCATGGCCCTCAGAGAGCTTCATGACCACATCGGGGAGCTTCAAAATAAGAATCCAGAGGCGTTTCTTGTGGTAGCTGGGATTTTAATCATGTTAAGCTGATGGACACTCTGCCTCAGTTTTATGAACATCTCTCCATAGCAACCAGGGGAAATTACACGCTAGACCAGGTTTATACCAATAGACGGGATGCATATACATCCATTTGGGTTTCTCTGAACATATCGCCATCATGCTGATTCCTACCCACCGTTCTGTGCTTATACACAATAAGCCCACACAGAAGACCATCACAGTGTGGCCCAGCACAGCTGTCCCCATGCTGCAGGATTGCTTTGAGAAAACCGACTGGCAGATCTTCAGAGAGGCTGCGACTAATGGACAAAGGGTGGACCTGGAAGAGTATGTGTCATCTGTTTGCAGTTATGTCAGCAAATGTATTGTAATCCAGGAGGATTGCCATCTGCCCCAACCAGAAGCCCTGGCTAAATGGAGAGGTGCGGTGTCTCCTAAAGCCTTTAGATCGGGAGACAGAGGGCACTGAGAACAGTGAGGAGAAATTTGGTGGCTAGAATGAAAAGGTCACACAAAATACAAGGTCATTTTTTTTACTAATGACCCGTGGAGTATGTGGAAGGGCATAAACATCATCACTGACTATAGTGAGATGAGGTGCCTCTCAGTGTGTGTGCTGAGATGTGAGGTGTACACTGCAGCGCATCAATCCCAGGAAAGCAGCAGTCCCAGACAGTATCTCTGGACTGGTTCTGAGAGCCTGTGCTCATGAGCTCACAGGAGTATGGACAGACATATTCAACATCTCACTTTAGTGCCAGTCTGTCTCAAGACATCAACCATTATTCCAGTGCCTAAGACTGCAGCAGCAACAGGAATGAATAACTATCACTCTTAGATAGTCATGAAATGTTTTGAGTGGCTAGTCTAAGATCTGCAAATGTGCAAATCTTCAAGAGGGCAGTTATACATTTGTGTTGTTTTATTTCCTTGTTTTTATTAATTTATCACTTAATCATATGATCATACAATAATATATAATCAGTAGCCTAGCCATTTATGTAATTTAACACTTGATTATTTTTATTCATTCATTTTATTTAATTGTTTATTGTTATATTCATACTTTACATTTCATATAATTTTTCTTGTTTATGCATTTTTATTGTTTAACCTTATGATTGTGGGGTTTTATTAACTGTGGGATGTTGTTGTGAAGCAGTTTACTTGTATTTAATCATTTAGCGAATATTGAAGATTAAAGTAACTTTACGGCGCTTTAAGTGTGATCTGATGTATCTAATACTATGCTAGTGTAATGTCTGTAATCGTTCATTCAGGAGAAACTGGATCAAACGCACCGGATGAGACTTGAGATCGCGCGCGGAAGTGAAGCATCATTGTCTGCGTCACAATTCAAAAGTGAAAGCAAATGTTCAGAGTTGAGCTAAAGCACGATTTTACGTGCAGCAAGAAAGGCGGTGGATTTTGTGAATCTGTGTGTAAATAAGGTGAGTGAAGGACGTATATTTTCGTATGTTTTAATACTTTCTTTTGCAAGCAGATGAACGTGGTTTGATTGGTGTTTGGTGTTGTCTGTGGTGTATTTGATCATTTGTTAACACACGACTAACATTGTGAAAACGGTTCCATTTTATACTTGGCCACATAAATGTGTCTTCCCAAAACGGATACAAATCCGAGCTCCAATTGCAAATCCAACCGACTTCACGTAGAACAGATGTGCTGCATTTTATTAATAATCGGCTAATTTGAAGATGAAAGACCACAACAGAAGAGGGACTGGAAAGATAAGTTAGTCTCTCTACTTTTAATGAAGATGATTGTGTTGAGCGTCTGCGACTTACTTTCAATTTCATTTGCTGAAGTTTGAGCGTCTGCTTCTTGAAAACATACTCCACTCATCTGCGGCGATGCATGTTGTAGCTGATGCATGTTGTAGCGCGCTGCCATCTTGCCTATAACGCTCTCACACGTTTATTATTTTAACATTTTGGGAAGAGTAAAAATTACATGTGTTTTCAAACAACCAGATGCATTTACACTTGTCCAATTTCGTCTGAAGTGATTTAAATCCGTCTCGAAAGCCTTTCAGAGGGTATTTACACCTTTTCTATCTTTTCACGATCGGATAGATATGTTATCAGAGAAAACGCTTTTAGTGACCAGGTGTAATCAGACCTGTTTGTGTTTGTTTGTCATTTCTATTCAGAGTCAGTGCTGGAGATCAGATTCTGCTTCATCATGGATGACACACAAACATCCACAGATGAAGATTGTTCTCCAGGATGCAGGTACTTTGAATAAACACTGTATTAAATCACATTGAATGATGGGAGATGGGAGTCTCCATCGTGCTTTTTTTTCTGTCTGGAGGTTAAAAGTAAAGTTTTATAGAAAAAAAGGTCAAAAAGCCTCCTCATGGAGTGTTTCTGATGAAAAATACTTAAAGACCTTAAAATAAAATGATTATCATAAAGGATCTAATCTGTTTTGTTATAGTTCAGTTCATCAGAAGAGATCAGAAGCAGAGCCCAGCTGTGTGTCTATGAGGAGTGACGCGTCTATGGGTCGTATAATAGAGTTTAAGAGTGAAGATATAAAGTCTGATCTCAGGTACATTTGTAGGCCTATATAAATATTATAGCATGTCAATTTATATTATTAAAACAGTGTATAGTATTTAATATACAGTAGTATTTTCTACAATGTATCAGAAATTCTTCTTGTACATTGCTAATAGATATTTTTATCTGACATTTTAACATAGTGTTAAACAGAGAAATGCATTTGTGAAAGCACTCAATTCTATTTAATAACTTTTGTAATAAAATAGTATGAATTAAATGATCCTGAAGTGCTTTTTAAAGTGAATGTTTAAATAATATATGGAGATGCACTTTGTTAAATGTTCAAAGGATTGACTTTAATCTCTCTCTGTTATAGTTCAGTTCAGCAGAAGAGATCAGAAGCAGAGCCCAGCTGTGTGTCTATGAGGAGTGACGCGTCTATGGGTCGTATAATAGAGTTTAAGAGTGGAGATACACAGACTGATCTAGGGTACATTTTTATATAAATATTATTATAGCATAAGCAGAGGATATTATTGAAGAGGATCGTGCAGAACCTGTGCAAGCCCGGCTTTTAATGGTAGGCCTATGTTTTTTGTTTGTTGTTGTCTCATACTTTTAGATACGCTGTTATTTGTAAATGCTACTGCTTATGTTATACGGTTTTAATCTGATTAAAGCTTTATTACAGTATGGCAACTGCACGTGCGTCCATGTTTAACGCTTCTTATAGCTATGTGAAAATAAGTGTATAATTGGAACAGTTCTTGGATTTAGATTAGCAGTTAACAGTTATATTGGAGCTGAGCTGAGAGAGAGAGAGAGAGAGAGATGCAGAGCAGGGGATGCAGAGTGATTGGTCTATGGAACATCCAATAGATTTTAAGAGTGAAGATACAAATACTGATCTCAGGTACATTTTTATATAAATATTATTACAACATGTAATTTTATGTTATCAAAACAGTGTTATCTTTATTTTTAAATATCTTTAGCTGATATTTTAACATATATAGTGTTACACAGAGAGACACATTTGTGAAATAAGTTCTATATAACATCTTTTGTAATAAAATAGTGTAAATGATTCTGAAGTGCTTTTTAAAGTGATTGTTTAAATAATATATAAGTATACTTTGTTAAATATGGTAATTCAGAGGATTCACTTTATTCTCTCTCTGTTATAGTTCAGTTCATCAGAAGAGATCAGAAGCAGAGCCCAGCTGTGTGTCTATGAGGAGTGACGCGTCTATGGGTCGTATGATAGAGTTTAAGAGTGGAGATACACAGACTGATCTAGGGTACATTTTTATATAAATATTATTATAGCATTTTATATTGTCAAAATAGTGTATATAGTATTTTCTACAATATTTAATTTATTTATTGCCATAACAACCTAGTTGTTCAGAATTTTGCTTGAGCTCATCAACAATAATAACATACATTAAAATACATACATACACATATATATATATATATATATGTGTATTAACTGCACGCGCATCCATGTTTAACGCTTCTTATAGCTATGTGAAAATAAGTGTATAATTGGAACAGTTATTGGAGTTATATTAACAGTTAACAGTTATATTGGAGCTGAGCTGAGAGAGAGAGAGAGAGAGAGATGCAGAGCAGGGGATGCAAGGAACAGTATTAAGAACCGCTGCTTTAGAACATTGATTTTGAAACTTGTGAATCCATTAGAATCGTTAGAAGACAGAATGGCGATTCATATATTAACAGATTTTTACGTGCACCTCTAGTGTTCTCTTCCTCTTCTCTAAAGCAGAGCAGCATGGCCTCGCCCCCTTTGCTGCCTTTTCCCGAGGGCGGGGTTTATCTGGGTTTGTGATGTCACGAACCTGGGAAGTAACTCGTTGTAGTCCCTACCAGCTGTATTTGTAGGCATTAAACTGGCAGAATTTTAAAAAACGATATCTCCATTTGCATTGAACTTTCAGCTTCGTAACTTTGCAGATATTGTTTATGCTCAAACAGCAACACTACACACTAACTAACGTTAAAAACGTGAAATCGCAATCAACCACCCCTTTAATTGCTCTAAGGCGTCTGCCTGAAAGTAGAGGCGTAAAGAGGTGTCTGGCTGGATTCAAGGAATCTTTCAAGATTGTTAGACCTTTCTTCTGCAAACGTAAGACATAATTCTTGTCAATAGTGGGGAGATCGCAACCAATAATTTTCGAAGCAGCCCGTATTATGTTACTAATCTGACTTCTCTGCTGAGCTGTGGAGCTACCAAACCACACTATAATTGAGATTATACACTATATATCACACTATAAAGTCAGCACGCTTTCAATGACAGCGCTATAAAAATGGAACATTCCCACTTTAGATACGCCAAACTTTTTAAGCTGTCTCAAGAAAAAAAGCCTTTGATGGGGATTTTTTAATAATGCCTCTTAAGTTGTTATCCCACTTCAATGATGCAGAGATGGTAGTCCCAAGAAACATAAAGCTTCGTAGATTTTTAATATCCTGACCATTAATAATTATGGGCAAAACAGCGGTTGTCCTCCGTCAGAAATCAAACACCATTTCCTTTGTTTTTAGGACATTCAACTCCAAATTATGAGTACAACTCCATTCAAACAGTGTAGACACCTTCCTTCTATAGTCCAATTAATTATTGCCTGTTATTAAACCAATCAATGTAGTATCATCTGCAAACTTAAAAATGTGCACCGATTTACAATGTGAAACACAATCATTAGTGTACACAGAGGGACTCAAGAATGTATTATTAATTTTAACTACTTGTGATCTATTCAGCAAAAAATCCAAAGAGCAAGGGAGTGTTTAATTCCCAATTGCTTTAACTTATCAAAAAGTTTAACTGGGATGATTGTATTAAATGTAGATTTGTAGTCCACAAAAAAGGGCCCTGACATAGGTGTTGGGGGCTTCAAGGTGTTGCAAAATTAAATGAAGACACAGAGCCACAGTATCATCAACCGACCTGTTAGCCTTATTGGCGAATTGGTAAGAATCCAGACAGATTGTAGAAATTAAATACCTAAGTACGAATCGTTCAAAGATTTTCATAACAACTGAAGGTAGGGCCACTGGTCTGTAATCATCTAAACAGCTAATATTCGACTTTTATGGTACTGGAATTATAACAGCTGCTTTAAAACATGCTGAGACTCTGCATCTTAATGACCAGTTGAAAATATCAGTGAACACTGGGGCAAGGATGAACGCACTCCACTTCAATGCTGCTGCCTTCCTGCTGTTCTGCTTCCGCAGCTGATTCCCGACTTCATATTCCTGTATTTTAATGGAAGGAGTCATAGTCAATCATCAGTAGCCTCTAAACAGTCCATTAGTATGTCTATTTCATCAACAGACCATTCCTTGATTGGTGTTATACGTTTAGATTTACATCATTAAACAGGAATGGGAAAAATCTAATTGTGGTCTGATTGCCCCAATGGAGCCCAAGACATAGAGTGAAAAGCATTAGGATAAACACTATAACATTAATCTAATAAATGATCAAATGTACTCATCACTTTAATTTGCTGTTTGAATCTGGGCATGATCTTCCTCATATCAACATGATATATACACAGAACGACTCAGGTTACTTATGTAACCATGGTTCCCTGAGTAGGGAACGAGACACTGCGTCCTCTAGGGTCGCTATGGGGAACGCCTCGTCGTGACGCGTGTCTGAAGCATACATTGAAAAAACACCAACAGCTGTGGGAGCAACACACCTAGTTCTCAGTCGAGAAGGGGGCTCGACCTACAGCATGTTCCAAAGCTGGAACGGCTAGCAGTAGTTTACCTTGGCTGAGGGAGCACAGACCCAGCTCTCAACGAGAGGGGGCTCGACCTGCAGCATGACTTTTTGTAAAATCAGAAGGGTAAGCATACTGCAAGCTTGCCAAACACTCAGCGCATCAGGGAGGCAGAGGAAGGGCCTAATTCACCTGATGCTGCTGGTTCCAGGCGCTCTGGAGAAACAGAGAACTCAAACATCTCATTTGAGAGGAGAACTCCGAATTCAGAGGAA